AGAGAGAGACAGAGACAGAGAGAGAATGTAACAGAGAGACTGTATGTTGAGGAGAGAAATAGTGAGAAGCTATCAGTAGTATCCTAGAAGGAGAATGAGTAGAATTCTAGGAGAAGAGAGAGTATGGTTGAGGGATTTATTTTAGGCAGTATTAGATGATAAAGCCAAAGAGTGGTGAGAGGTGGGAGAGTGATGATTGTCCTGGTTTTGGTTCAAACAAGCTTTTTACATCTGATTTTATCTGAGGGCTTAGGAGTCCTATCTCCTCCACTCGATGGTACCTTCTCACTACTAGTCATATTATTACTTATACCATCCTCTCTTTTGAAATTTTTAAAGATTTATCCAATCCAGGATAGGGGTCTTCACTATTAGAGTGCTCCTTGTCCTGGCTGAGATCCCTGGCACCAGCTTTCAGGTGGGCCTATCAAACATAATCCCTGCAATAGCCCTTACCATAATGCTGCTCACCAGCAAAAGGTGGTCTAAAATGATCACAGTCCTTGTTCACCCAGAAAACAAACAGACAAAAAAAAAATGGAATTGATAGATTCTGCCAGATTGGAGCTTCCTAACTCTAATAGGACTTCGCCCTGGACCATGAGAAATGACTTATCTCTCTAAAAGTAATTTCTGTTAATTAATAAAGGGTTTTTGACCACATAAAATTCACCAAATAATCATGGCAACAGCTCAGCACAAATAAGTATCCAATGCAATACCTTATCACATTCTTCTTCTTCCCTCAACTTCCACTAAACATTTCTGTTTTCCATTTTGCACATGCAGATGCAACCTCATATCAGCTGTTGAGATACCATTTTGCACACCTCCCAATCTATTCCCCCAGCCAGACCTGATAAAATTTCTTCCATTTCTTTGTTCTTGGCAGAGGAATCACGCATTCTTTCAGCAGCCCTCTCGTGCTATCAATAAAGACCTTCTTATCTCTTTACCTCTTTGTCTCTTAACTGCACTGGAAAAACTGAACACAGCCTACCTTTTTCATGAGACATTTGGAATGGGATAGATAAGAGTGTGGGATTCTATTTGAAGATGGAGAAAAATGTTTAAAAGTATGACTAATCTTTCTTTCTACTCCATACAACACTGGTCCATTTTCCATGATGGAATTTTCTAAAAGTATTAATTGATTTTGGGGTGTAGTCTTCATACACAACTTATAGAGTTGTTTTCCAGGTCCTCATAGAATCCTAATTTGGAGTCAATTTTTAGAGTCAATATAGTTCCATTTCACACAACTCTTGGCTTTTTAAAATCAGAATTGTCCACAGCTGTACAGAAATACTGGTCCTTCCCCAAGACTGAGATATTCTGCCTCATCCTCTCAGATTCTTGCTCCTGGAGCCTCGTGATTTCATAATGAACCAAGTTTCCAAATCTGCTGGCAGAATCCAGTGTTTGAAAAATCACATCCAAAGTCTCAACTCACCTTTCACTACCAGACTGGAAACAGGAGACAGACATTTGGAGCTCCTTACAGATCAAGGGCTTCTGAAACTTTGTACCTGTCCTCATCCCCACTTGCCCCTCATGAGTGCTGAATGTGAAGTGGTGAGGAAGGGCCTTCTCTGCACATCCATTGCAACTACTTTTGGAAATGTCCATCAGATGGTACTAGTGAACATCACAAATGTGACCATGTGCTGTGTTCCACTCCCTCCATTGTTTGCCTCATAAGCCAAGATAGAATAAGGCAACTGATTTTGGTAATGTATGTGAAAATTTTATCTATTTCTCTTCAAAATGGTGTTGTGTGATTTAAAATTATAAACAAATTGTGGCATAAATTGCATTTTTAAATGTGACATCCAATCAGATATGGTTGTGTATTTCTTTATCCCAGAATTTGAGAGGCTGAGGCTACACAACTGCTGAGACTTTGAGGCCAATATGTACTACATAGTGAGTCTAAGGAAGTACATAGTGAGAATCTCTCTCTAAAAAATACTCAGCAACATAAGTAACTACTAAGATCCACATACATTAGATTCTCTAACAAAAGAAAATTTTTCAAAATGCTGATCAGGAGTAATACACATACAAACACAGAATATGAACTGGGAAGCAACAGTTTAGAGCAGGTAGATATCAAATAAAAATAAGACAATAAATGAGCTGTATCTTAAAAATATGGTATAATCTCTCAAAGTCCATTATCAGTGGTTCCAAGAGCGTCACCTGATCTGTCAGATCCTTAAAAGCTGACTTCATAGGGCTCTGTACAGCAAAGGCTTATCAATGTCACTTGACTCATACTTGCTAGCATCTTCCCGCTACAGCCCAGACATGCAAGTGTATTTACTTTAAATTTGATGCTTTGGTGTGTTTATTTTACATCCTGGTGCTATCAGTATGCCTCCATGGTAGTGACAGTGTATGTGTTCCCTTCATATCTCATAGACAGTGCATGTGCTTTAGATAACTTGGCTCCATTTTATGTGCATACATAGATTTTCCTTTCCACTGTTATTATTCATCTTTCATTTTATGTTGTTTAGTAAGAGTTTCCAGCAAGAAAAGAAAGAGGTATTCGACTTCTAAATTAGATTTTGTAATTTGATCCTCCTTTACATGCACCTGAATCAACCAAGATGAAGCCTAGGCCACTTTGTTGATTTCTTTCCAGACATAGCACTGTCTTCACTGAATTTCCCTCTCAGTTTGGTATTATTTCTATCATTGCTTATTTATTTAATTTTGGTATAGATTCTTGGTATCATTCCCATTCTTCTTATATATGTACTGAGATATCCACAAGTGCATGTGAAGGGATTTCTCCCTGATTCCTAATATGGAGGGAGAAATGGAGGCTAAGGGGAATAAAAGGAATCAACATATGATAAGAGCATATCCTGACTTTCTGAAATAAAAGTAAGCATTATGTACTCACAACATGTACCAATACAACATTTTAAATTTGGTAACCCAAACTAAATAGCCAGTTAAAATAGGTAATAGGAATAAAGGAGATAAAAGTTATTCAAATGGGGATAGGGTCAAGATATGTGGGTGGGGTTGAAAGTAATTAACATATTTCATGTTCATGTATCAGTTCCCCACTTAGAATGCAATCATTGTGCAATGCAGGTATGCACTTTAAAAAAACCTAAAAAAAAATCTTTCCTGCAACACATTCCACATATACTTGTTAAAAATATGTTTTTTGTGAATATTCTTTGCAGATCTACTCATATCTGTAAACATCAGTCAGCTTATGATGTGATGTCTAACAACCTTATTTTACTGTCTATTTTCTAGGTGCCTTCCTCACAGAATTACCATTTTAAAACATGCCATGATTTTTCTACAACCCTTTTTTTCTCACCTCAAATCTGTTAATCTGAAGTTGACATATGTTGGGCTCTGATATGGAAAGGTAGAGTCTAGTTTATTTCATTAGGAAAGGAGTGAGCCAGCTTGTTATGGAAAGCAATAAAAGCTGAAGACAGTGGGGAACTAAGTCATACTAGTAGGAATTCCTATGGGGATACACAATATGCTAGGACTTTGGCCAGGAATGAATGTTTCTCAACCAACATTAATACAGCCCCTCCACTTTAAAGAGAGGCACCACCACATCCTGAGCTTCTGAATATTGAGGAGATAAAATACAATGAGTTTCTTCTATGAAATAGAATACAGCTCAGCCCCTCCTAAAGATTTTGAAGAAATTATAATGAAAAATAACTGTAACCTTCTAAGGTCTCAATTGACTGCAAATACCATGTAAAGGAATTGGGCCTAATTAACAACTGGTCAATATTTTACCTTCCAGAAATGCCCTTGAGAGGGATCCACTAAACTACCTAGCAATTCCTGGGCCTTGTTTACCTGTAAATAAATGTAAATTGAGGGGCTGAATGGCAATCTAGGCAGGATCCTTCCTGAACACCAATGAGCTCTTTTCAATGAAACTTTCCTAACTTCCTTCTTTGGTTGACAACTTCATTCTTTTGTGTTTTGCAGAACCACAAACCTGGGGCACACTGTAGGACACATACGGTTATAGTTAGTTTCTCTTAATGACTTTGTTGCCATGGAATGGTTCTATCATATTCCAGGATCTTATGAATGGCTATGAAAGAATTGCCAAGTGTACACACAGTAGAAATAAGCAGCTGCCTTTACGGGTATTCAAAAAAAATTGTGTTCAGACAAGACCATGCTACCATAGCATAATAAACTAACTGAAAAAGGCCTGGAGGTGACAGAAAAGTACAATATGTGGTCTCTGCAATAAAAATTAATGACAGCAGCAATGAGAAAAAAGAATGAGTTTGGCTTTCTGAATTTACAGACAATTAACAGACAGGTCCTGAGGAAATTTTCCAGGCTTCCCTGGCTGAAATCAGAGTTGTCCATGATTCATTCTGAGTACTTGCCTGGAATGGACAGTGTCCCTCTCACAAATTGAACAATTCATTTTGTTCATAAATGATAGAAACAGAGATCAATGCACACATTTAGCCTCAGTATGCTGATGTCAAAGAAGTGCAGGTGGTTTGTAGTTCATTTAGAGGTGGATTCAGAGGGCAGAACCTTCTTTGGTGCCTTGATTCTCAGAGAGGTGAGGCCTGTATTCACAGGACTTTAGGAAGTGTCAGGAGTTGCATTTCCTCATACAGAAAAAACACATGGATACTCATAGCACACTGCTGCATGGCCCATGGAAAACTACTTCCCCTTAAGGCTGGATTGGGTCTGGGTGAAGAGCTAACTAATTTTTGATTGTTAATATGCAAATAACTCAAGTTGCCTGTGGTAAATATGGGTAAGTCTGTGGCTAGATCACTCGACAGCCATCACTCTCTTCTGCAGAATCATCCAAAGCACAGTTTCTTACCATGGACTGGACATGCAGAATCCTCTTCTTGGTGACAGCTGTGAAATGTAAGGTCATTTCAAGTGCTAGGGCTGAGGAAGAGACCAGAGCTTGTCAGGGGACACTGACTCCAACTTCTGTTCTCCCTCCACAGGTTCTGAAGTTGAAATGCATTTGGTACAGCCTGGGGCTAATCTGAGAAAGCCCTGGGCCTCAGTGAAGGTCTCCTGTAAGGTTTCAGGCTACACCTTCACAGACTGCCTCATACAGTGGGTGCTACAGAGACCAGGGTAAGATCCTGGAGTGTATGGGATGGATTCATCCAGAGGATGGAGAAACTGGATAAGCTCAGAAGTTCCAGGGCACTGGCATGCTCATCTCAGTCATGTCCTCCAGCACAGCCTTAGCTCAGGAGCTGAGCAGCCTGAGAGTCAAGGACAAGGCCATGTATTGCTGGGCAAGACACACAGTGTGGGGACATCAGGCCAGAATAAACTTCCCTGCAGGGAAACTCAGGAACAGCAGGGGTCGCATGAGAGCAGCAGCTATACTCTTTACCACTTGTATTCTACCCACACCCTGTCTTTAGCTACCATGCCAGTAAGCCAGAGCCTGGGCATAATCCAGAAGGAAAGAGCTGCCTGACACGCTCATGACCTTTCAGGAAATTTCCACCAGAACAGGCTTCTAGTTCAGTTTTCGTTCATTTCCATCCATTTCCAAAAATGGCAGGTGCCGTTTACAATGGTATTTTCAAGATATTGAATGCAAATTCGAAAAAGTGAACAAATATGAATTCAGTTTAAGTTCACTTATTTAAACAGGCACCAATACACAGAAACATTAACAAATACATAGAGATGTTTCATATCCCACACCAATTTTCTCTACTATTGGCAACTCATATTGGTAGGCTCCTCTTCCTTCATATAAATCACCAATCATGACATTTAATTAAGTCACAATTTTTAAATCTTTTTTATTTTAAAGAGTTTAAGACAAAAGAGGATGTAACAAAGCAGATCAGAACAATGTAAGCAACACTGTATTTCACCACAACTCACAATTAACAGTAACTACCATAATGTAACTCACAATTTTTAACTGAGTCTCTTTTTAATTAAAAAAAATGTTATTTTGTTTTGTCCACTAAAAGTTTATTTCAATCAGATTGTAAAGGTTTAATGTAGATTATGTCAAAAGAGTAATTTAATTCTACACTTTAAAATAATAAGTGTATTTACTTAGAATTGAATGTTCTACCATACTCCATAGCTTTTGTTTATTTTTATTAGCATGTACCTTGTATACAGTATATATATTGTGGATATATGTGTATATTGTGCATATACAGTACTCATATTGTGGATGGAGAATTGGCTGATCATGCTCATGTATATTCAAGTCATTGTTTTGGAGTACATACATTTGTGCATAACTACTTTGAGGGAAGCAATTGAAAATTAGAGCACAAGCTTCTGAACAGAACTTTGAAAAACTATTGCAAATCAGAAGCTATTCTGTTGACAGTCCCCAAAAGTATAAGTAAATTATCTGAGTAATACATTATTAAACAAGATATGTAGATGGCAAATAGTCATGTGAATGCCAAATTGCTATTACTTTAATTATGGAAACCCCAATTAAACATCAAGAAACCACCAAATGCTTTGCTTGGTGAATCCAGTCCTCACAAGAAGTTACCAGCTTGCTAACCTGCTGAGCTGTTGAAACTCGCACTCCTTGCTGGTTGGAGCTTGAGAAGGCAGAATCACAGAGAAGATACTGTGATGCAAAACCAGACCTCATCAGAAAGCACACCCCAGTGAAGAACATGCTTCAGGTGTTTATCTGACAGATTGAAAAAGGGACAAAAAGAAAGATGGGAGAGATTGGTGGATGAATACTGAGGACTGTTCTGTGGAACAAGAAGCTCTTGTTGGTTTTTCAAATTAGGATCAGTATAAGTGACAGTACTGCACTGTGAATTTCACAAAGCTAGCAGAACAGAGTCGGGATGATTTTATCATAAAAGTGAAAAGTGCTTCTCTAGATTTAGACTCAGCATGAGGTTAACATGTATTGACAAATCACATGTTATCACTAAGGTAGGTATAAACTGCATGATTTTAGGTTCCATCTAAAGTAAATTAAAACAAATAAAATAAAAAAAGTTATATTAGAAAAACATGAGCATGAAATGATTTATTTCTGCTTAACTCCTATGTGCCCATTAGTGCAAAGAAAAGTGTCATTCAGTACATGAAATAATAAATATGGTATAAAAGTATAATAAAATACTCTTGATAATGATTTAAAAAATATGTCCATTCCACACCCTGAAATGGCCACATAGTTTCTTGCACTCAAATTTTTGGTTTTATTAATTTTCTAATTTCTAATTTTTCTAATTTTAAAAAAGTTCTTTTGCTCATTCAGTCATCTTCCTTCTCTTGACATTGTGCTTTCACTTGAAGAATTAAGATCACTGTTACTGTCTGAATACAGTTACACACAGATTATACAGAACTCTGCTCCCTGAATGTATTTTCTCTGTTCAAAGCTTTTAGCTCCTCTTCCAGTACACCCCAGTGTTTGTGTGGAGACTTCTTTCACAGGCTCTGAAAGTGGCAGATTGTCCATATTTTGAAGCATGTCACAAAGGACCAGATGACAAAACCAATGTGTTGTGAGGACTTTACCTGGGAGAAGGCAGCGGTCCTCTTCTTTTGGAGATGCACTTATGAGGAGAGGTCATTTCTAGCTCATGCACTGGTCAATTTGAATAGAATCCATTTGGAGTGAATGCTCCTCACTGTGATGTCTGCAGTGCACTGTCAGTGCTGAATGAAAGACAAGGCTATGCTCTTTCTTGTGGGCCTCACCTCTCAGGCCTGAATAACACCAGTGCCCTCAGTCCACATACATTAGCTATGACCTCTACCTTGCTTCACATGCTGTCACCTGCCCTAAGATTTGATGCAAATTTTTCTCAGATATGAGCTATCTGTGAACAAGATCCTGTTAAAATGTTGGCATGCACAAGGTCACATCACAATACTAACTTGTAGGTAGAAACCTTGGAGAAGATATCAATATGAATTCTGACTAACATGGATGACATAGGTCCATGCAGGCGGGCCAAGATAGAGACCACAGCTCCAGCAGGAACAGCACCTTCCTAAAGGGATTCTCAAGAAATTAATATTCAAGACACAGAATGCTGGGATGATAGAAGCCAAACAGAAAATCTTAGGGTTTACATTATCATCATATACAGCACTTCTCCATGTAAAGCCACAAAACAGAGAACAGATCTTCCAGGGCTGAATTCCACATGAGCAGTGCCACATTCAGCAGCTCCTACCACCCAGTGCCAGGTGTGAGGATCCAGTGTTGTCCTGGCTCAGCCACTTTTACAGCCACCAAGACACACATACAATTCACCCTAGGTGCTGGCAGAAGAAATCTCAGTTTCCAGCACCTTGGGAGTACAGATCTCCATCCTACAGGTAACATGGAGATACTGTTCAACATTCTCTGTCTAATGGCAGCTCCCTTGTTGTTCCAGGGTGCCTACTTGTTTGTGGGAACCAGGATATGGGAAAGGAAAACCTCACCATGCCTCCCCTTGTCCTCAGGTGTGCTGTCTGACCTGACACTTTGATAATCAGGAGCCAGCTTGGTGAAGCCTAAGGAGACCCTGTCCTTCACCTGCACTGTTACTGGGGGCTCTACCTGTAGTAGTGACTACTGGAGTTGGATCTGTCAATCCTGGGAAAGCTGTACAGTGGATGGGTTACTGCATAGTGAACACATAATACAATGCAGGTTGCCAGGGCCACACTTCAATCACAGTTGACACAGCCAACAAATTCTCCCTGCAGATGAATTCTGTGACCTCTGAGGACAGGGCTGTGTATTACTGTGCAAGACAGAGGGAAGAGAGTGCAGTGAGAGTCCATGCATAAACCTCTATGCAGTTTCATATGTGACCTGCAGGTGGAACCCATGTGCACTGATCTCAGGGCTCAATGCCAGAGATAAATGGAAGCCCATATATCCCTAGGTAGATGCCACTATCCATCAGACACAAGGGTGACACTAACTGCCCTTCCTCTCTCTTTCACCAACACTGTCTCAAATCTGTCACTTAGGTATTTGCAGGAATCGCCCTCACCTTTTTTTACTCTTGATTCCTAAGGAGCCCATTTTCTCTCAACTGGGAAAAGAATTTCCCTGCACCCTGGACCTGCTTTATGCTGGGCTCCCCCAGAGAACCCGTCATGCTACACCTTCACTTGGAAATGCAGTCAGTGCTGCACACAGACCCCATGTGCATACCCTTGCCTGCTTCAAGGAGTTTCTCAACTGGCCCAAGTTGCTTCTTGTCACTGCCACTCCTTCCCAGGCAAAACCCAACACTGCATAAAAAGAACATTGTTTCAACTCAGTGCCAGCCAATTCCATGCATATGAAACCCCGGTGGTTTGTTTTTGAATATATTTTGAATAAAGAGACTTTGAACTTGCACTTTTCTTTTTTTTTAATATTATTTAAAGAGATTTTTAAAAAGTGAAACAGGAAAAAGGGTGGAAATAATACAGGATTTCAAAAAAATAAACAGTAAGAAATCACTGGTTGATATATTACACACTGTCATCTTAGAAATAATTGTTTAAGTTACAAAATTAAAGCATACAAAGTGGTCATTCAAACAATGAGACTGTGAACAGTTCTGCTCAATGACCCAAAAAAGTTAGTAATATGGTTATCTGTCTTACACATTTAAAAATACATGCAGTTATAACCTTTAGAGTACCTTCTTTCCCTCTCTTTTTTACAATAGCAATACACATTTTGGGTTGTATTACTCTAACATTTTTTATTACTTTTTACACTTGAGACACAATGTGATATTTATAAATGTGATTCTTATCTACTTCACTTACCAGGCTACTCTCAAGTTGCATCCATTTACCTATGAAGGCCTCAAGATCATGCTTTTTATAGCTGAGTAATATTCCATTGTATAAAAATACTACATCTTTTTATCAACTCTGCAGGCGATGAGAAATTTGGTTGTTTCAAAAATTTAGCTAATACAGGTTGTGATGCTATAAATATGTCATTATGACATGATATTTTCAGTTTTTCTGGGAAAATACCTAGAAAGAGAATAGCTGTATTGAATAAAACTTTCAATCCTGGTCTTATGAGAAATCTCCATATTGATTTCCATAGTGGCTGCACCAGTCTATACTCCCACCAAATGTTGAGAAGTGTTACTTTTCCCCCACAGCCTCACCAACACTTGATATTAGTTGATTTCTTGCTGTCAGCTATTGTTGCCAGAGATGAAATTTCAATGCTGTTTTAATTTGCATTATTCAAATGACCAGTGATTTCTTCATGTACTTATTTGCCATTTGTATATCTTCATCTGAGAACTGTGTATTCATCTCAGATGCCCATTTTTGGATTAGGGAGGGTTTAATGTTTTTCAATACTTTACATATTCTGGATATGATTCCTTTGTCTGAGGGTGTGCTGGATAAAATTTTTTCCCATTCTGTGGGTTTTATTTCACTCTGTTCATGATTTCTTTTGAAGTGCAAAACTTTTTAATGTTATGCAATACCAGCTGTTGATTCAAGTGTTTCCCATGTATTTCACATTTTGTTCATGAATTCTCTGACTACTCCATATGGCTCTAAGTTTTCTCCCTATCTTGTCTTTCAGTAGCTTTAATGTTTCTGTTTTAATATTAAATCATTGATCCATTTAGATTTTAGATTTTTGCATTGTGATAGGCATGCATCTAATTTCAGTCTGCGACATGTGAACAACCAATTTTTCCAACACCATTTATATATATATATATATATATATATATATATATATATATATTTATTTTGTCTTTTTCATTTTTATCAGTACCAGGGATCGAGCTCACGACTGCCTGCTTGCAAGGCAGGCACTTATGCTGCTGAGCTAAATCCCCAGCCCTCCTCCAACACCATTTATTAAAGAGGCTATCCTTCTTCCAGTGAACATGCTTAGCCCCTTTGTCATATATCAGATGGTTGAGTGTCTTTGTAGTTGTGTTTGCACCTTCTAATCTGTTCCATTGATCCTCTGGTCTGTTTCTTCACCAATGTCATGCTGATTTTATCACTTTGGTTTTTAGTATAGTTTCAAGTCACAAATTGAAATGTCTCCTGAATTACCTTTGTTGCCAATATTTGCCTTTGGTATTCTAGGTTTTTTTCTGTTTCCAAATGAATTTTAGGAATATTTTCTCTGGATCTGTGAGATATGTTAATGATATCTTGACTGAGATTGTGTTAAATCTGCATAAGAGTTTTGGGAGTACGGCCATTTTCACAATGTTGGTATTTTTCTAGCCAATAGCAAGCAATCTCCTTCCCTTTTCTAGTATCTTCTTTAATCTCCTTTTTCAGTGCAGTATAATTTTCAGCATATAGATCTTTTCTTTCTTAGTTGGATTGTCTCTCAAGTAATTCATTTTTTAGATGAAGTTGTGAAGGGACATATTTCCATAATTTTTCTTTCAGTGAGACTTTGTTTTTTACAGTAATGCTATTGATTTTTGAACATCGACTTTGTATCCAGCTACAGTGCTGAATTTGTTTATTATCTCTAGTAGTCTTTTAATGGAGTTTATTTGGTATTCTATTAGAGTATCATGTCATCTAAGATAGTGATAATTTAACTTCTTCCTTTCATATCTTTATTCCTTTTATTTGTCTCTAATTTCTGATTGTCCTGGCAAGTGTTTTCAGAACTATATTGAATTCAGGAGTGGTGATAGTTGACATCCTTTTCTTGTTCCTGATTTTATAGTGAAAACTTTCAGCGTTTGTCCATTTAGTATAATATTGACTGTTGGCTTGTCATAGATGGCCATGTGCAATTGAGGTAGACACCATGTATTCTGAGTTTCTCAAGGGGTTTTAGCATGAACATATGTTGGACTTTATTGAAAGATTTTTTCTGCATCTCTTAAGATGACCATGTGGTTTTTATTTTTGGCTCTGATGGAGTAGTGTATTTCATTTATTGTTATGCATATGTTAAACCATCCCTACATTTCTGGAATGAATCTCACTTAATCATGGTGTGTAATCTTCTTGATGATTTGCTGCATTCTATTTGCCAGTATTT